CTGCTTACATCGAGAACCTTGAATCTCTAAAATATCCAACGATTTATTTAATTTCTTCCAGATGATTGCCAGAATCATAACACAGAACTTTTGTACCATGTACATACTTCCAATCTTAATGGAGTAGCCGGCTGTTAGTAGAACCCGGAGTTTCCAGTACTGGACTCTGTCCTCCTTAAATATCTCGAGGTAACTTAAACTTCGTGACAGAGGAGACAGCCAATCATGTGGTGAGGTTAGCTTAGATTGTATTTAATGTTCACTCACAGCGACAGAAATGACGATCTTCCAGCATGGACGAACCACCCCTTATGGAGGCTGGGTCGAATTCCTCCACCGTGACCCTGCGAGTCGTAGGACGCGACGAAAAGGGAAGTCACAAATATGAGACAGTAAAATATGGTCGCGAGTTCCAAGGGAGTAGGAACCGAGAAAGACTGCGCTGATAAAGGCCAGAAACATATACAAAAGACAGATCGTCCTCTGGTCAGAGAGGACGCCCACAAAAACAAGGCCGTAACTGTCAAACAGGAATAAATATCAGGTCATGAACCCTAGATGGGGCTCGACACCAGGACTTACTGACTGACCGACCGTCAGTCGCAATGTGACTTTTGACTTTGTTACGAAAGCTCTTAGAAAGGCGTTTCATTTCTTTACTTTCGCCATTATGATCTCGAAAAACTTAAACGTAAATCAGAGATGAAGAGACTGTTGGGAATATTTGATTGTATGGTCCATGTTGTTTTGTTTAGTCGCTGCGTTTCACTTATCCTCGTTAGTTGAAGTTAATATTAAATTAAATTTATTTCCTTGCAGGTCATGTCGCCCAGTTCCAAGTCTGCTATATAATGTCTGAAGTTGAGACATACACAAACGACCCAATAATGAATTTTGCTTCCTACGTCACTAGCAACAAAGTTTGGTGCTAGTCCTGTAGGTCTAGGTGTTACTTAAAGAATTTCTTGGCGTTTTACACCCTGAACGTTTTTCAGTCCGGGTGTACTCTTAATGGCACTCGGAATTCCGACATAAAACAGAAACCAATTTCATTTTCACTTCCTTTTTCTGTGTAAACGTCCATGTTAGAACTTGAAAGAAATTGGTGGAAGATTTGGTTTCAGCAAGTTTTCTAATCAAATTATTCGTTTTTAAATAACATTCACTAATTATGTATGGGGGCCGGTCTCGGTAGCCGAGCGGTCTACGGCATGTACTGTCTTCGCTCGCTTGGAAACCGGGATCGTGGGTTCGAATCCCGCTTAGGGCATGGATGTTTATTTTGTGTGTGTGCGTTTTGCTGTTTGTGTAAAGGTAGAGGCCTTGCGACGAGCTGATCACCCGTTCAAGGAGGTTACCGCCTGTCTAAGAATTAAGAAACTGAAGTGAAACGAAGCGTTTCACTGATGCCCTGTGCTCCAGAAGGAGCAACAGGAATAGATAGATTTTTTCCAATAATAGTTTTATTACCAGTAAGTTACTTAAAATTTACATTGAAATAAAATACATGATTATGTAATAATATGTACTGCAGTTGGTGTAGACAGTGTCTAAATATAGATACATAGATTGATGGATTGATAGACAGACAGACAGGTAGGTAGGTAGCTGGTAGTTGGTAGGTAGGTAGGTAGGTAGATTGGTAGATTGATTGATTAGATAGATGAGTTACAGAATTCTCGTCATGGGGTATGAAGGTGCTATAGCGCCACAGATCATAGGCAACTTCCCCATCTCAAGAGTTAAACGGGTCAGTGTAGCAGAGCAATCAGGCGCGTAAGTTTGGCTTGAAGTTTGAACGGTATTAATGGCAACAGGTCGAACCCGTAATACGAGGCGCTCGAACAGAGGTGACTGCTTACAGACATCAAGGGATTATTAATGAAGGGCTACAATTAGGGACTTCTGAGGGGTTTTATTTTCTGGGGTATAACGCCGTGTAGAAGATGTAGGCAACATGTTCTTTCGAAACGTCGGTTGACTATAGCAACCGCTGTAAGAACCTCATGAACCTATGTGAGGAAATTTTGTCAGTACTTTGTTAATAACAGTACACACACAGGCCCATGTTTTCATAAGTGACGAATGCAGAAGTAACTGGAATAATCAATGAATAAGTGAAAGTAGTTTTGTTCTTATCGATTTGGCTCAGGATAGGGACCAGTGGAGGGCTCTTGTGAACACGGTAATGAACATTACGGCTTCCATAAAATGCTGGGAAATTCTTGAGTAGCTGCAGAATTGGTGGCGCCTCAAGAAGGGCTCAGCTCCATGAGTAAGTAGGTGAGTTTTCTTTTTGGTTTCTTGGGGTTGGGTGAGACTGAGTCCACTTGGTACGTCGGCCACTAATTGAACTATTGTACCAGCCCCGGATGGTAGATGAGTGTGTAGCAGTCCGTGGAATGAGAATTGACAGGGGAACTCGAAGTACTCTGAGAAAACCTGTTCCGATACCACTTCGTCCAGCACAAATCCCACCTTACCTGGGCTCGAACTCTGGCCGCGGCAGTAGGAAGCCGGCGACTAACCACCTTATCTATGGCACGGCAGTAAGTGAAAGTATATGCGAGCGATACATTGTGGCGGTCATTGTAATTTTTGTTATATATATAGTATGTGTGTACAAACGAAAGATGTATTATTCTCTTGAAAGTAATTAAGCGAAGCACAGATATACATCACGGTACTACTAGGATTCCGTGAAGTCACTGTGTCCCCCACGAAGCTTTTGTATTTGAAAGCTGTAGCTCAAGCACACTCGGAAGGATACAAGTTGAATCTTTCCATTTCGTGTTAAAAGCTCTGGCTCTAGTTTCATGTTCATAATACTTTCAAACGTACGCCCTCCTTTAAAGTATTAAGATATCGTTTATGTACATGTTTGGCAATTCCACGTTACTACCACCACCACTGCCCCCCCCCGCGCTTACGTACTTACTCATAGAGCTGGGCCCTTCTTCAGAAGCCACCAGTTGCACAGCTACTCAAGAATTTCCCAGTATTTTACGGAACAGGAAGGTTCATTACCGTGTTCACAAGAGCCCTTCACTGGTCCCTATCCAGAAGCAGACCAATCCAATCCATACCATCCCATCCTATCTCAGATACATTTTAATATTATCCACCCACCTACGCCTTGGTCTACCACTACTAATGAAATCTATTATTGCGCACAAAAATATCGAAAGTATATATATATCATATTAAGCGAAAAAATGTTCCTAAAGCCCAACTACCCAACTTTTAATTATCGTAAATATACAACATACTGTAATTTACTAAATAAATCGTTGTTACGCCGGACACAATAGCCACGCGGTCTAAGGCATGAGCTGCCTTCGCTATCTCGAATTCTGGGATCGTGGTTTCGAATCCCACTCGAGGCATGGATGTCTGTGCGTTTATTCTGTGTTTGTGTTGTTCTGTGTGTACGTAGCGGCCTTGCGACGGGCTGATCGCTCGTCCAAGGAGTCCTACCGGCTGTGAAAAATGATTACGGAACTGAATAAGAGGCCTGGGACCAGAATGGGCTGGAAGAGACATTGAGAAAAGCCGTTGTTATTGTAGACATACCAATTTTTTTTATTCGCATAGGGGGGGTGCAGCTGGGTCCACTCGTCACAGCGGCCACTGAATGGCCTATTGTACCTGCCCGGGTGATTATGATGATGGAGAATTTGGTGGAATTAAGATTGGCAAGGGAAACCGAAGTACTCGGAGAAAACCTGCACCATCGCCAATTTGTCTACCACAATCCCACTTGACCAGACCCGTGCTCGAACCCGGGCCGCCGCTGTGGGAAACCAGCGAATAACCGCTTGAGCTATGGCGCGGCCCAGATATGCCATTAGTATTATATATCATCATAACGAATTTTAACATCCATAGGCGTACGTTTTATTGGTATGATTTAGTATTTTGTTTTGTTTGAATAATGTAATAATATATTAGGGTACTCATTTCATTTTCTCTTCTGCATAGTGTCCAGGCCGGCTCTGGGGTCCATGCAACCTCCTATCCAATGCGTACCGAGGGTAAAGCGGCCGGGTCGTGAAGCTTACCACTCACCCCCAGCTAGTACCGAGGTCAGGAAAATGTGGATCTACACGTCCACTCCCCCATACGCCTCCATGGCGTAGTGTTTAATTCGTTGAGCACAGGGACAGCTTTACATTTTTTTTCCTTGGCACTACAGCCCCAATGGGCCTAGGCCTACCTCCATGAACTCCGTTCACTTCGGTTTTTCTAGATCTTACACATACGGTAGGACTCCTTGGGCGAGTGATCAGCTCGTCACAAGGCCTCTACCTGTAGACAAATAGAAAAACGCACACGAACATCCATGCCCTGAGTAGGATTCGAACCCACGATCCCGGCTTCCGAGCGAGCGAAGACAGTGCATGCCTTAGACCGCTCGGCTACCGTGACCGGCCAGCTTTACCTTTACACGTTTATTTATTTGGTTTTGGTTTATTTAACGACCCTTTCGGTTGTTTAAGATCATTAATCTTGAAATTATTAGTGATCAAGGAGTTCAAAAGGGTGTGGAAGTATGCAGACATAGCCTAATTTAAGATATCCTGGCATTTTCCCATATGGCCTGAAGAAAACGACGAAAACATTCAATCAAGATAACCGTGTAGGTGACGAGGTTTGAACTCGGAAGATACTGAATACGATTGAAGCCTGAGTATTGACCAGTCCTTTGTGATATTGGATTAATATGTTACTGGATTATTTAATTCTTTAAAATTGATTGCCAATTAACAGCTGCGTTAACTGTGGCAACCAGTTCCACGTGCAATTTGTACGGAGTGGCCCGCTGTGACTTGGCGAATCGGGCGCAGAGCGGCGCTGTGTTGCATGTGTTACCATGACGACCCTACACACAGTGTAGTAGCAGCTTGATGTCGCTGGAACGCAGCATCCCGGGGTTCCTGTGAGGGTAGGGTGCGGCGTCGGGGTTGCGGATAAACTTACGGCAGGCAGACTGACAGACATTCATATCATTGTTTTTTTTTTCCAACTCTGTGCTTTACTTTTATATACGCTGTGATAATTAGTATAAATATTTACAGTGGAATGTTAGTGAATATGATTGTGTGAAATGAATTAGTATGAATGTGTGTGATGTTATACTGCTGAAATGTGAATAAGCAGTCGTGAAACGTGAAACGTGTTTAAGTCCATCGTAATTTATATTTAAGGTGTTGGAAATTGTGTTTCTGTATTTTTCGCTTTAACGATTTCTGTTTGTGCTCAGATGCAATACAGTGCGTGGTGAAGGGCGGGCACTGGTGTCGTATCGCCTATCTTAAGAGTATATGGATCAGATGTCCGAACCAGTAAAAACAGAGCGGAATGTGCTTGGTTTTACTCATTCATATTTCTCGTTATTACTTCACAACTGTTTTCTATATTATGGATTACTGGACTTGTCCATTGTTCGGTATTCTAAAGAACACACCGCTTCGGAAATTAGATCTGTTTCCGTCCTCAGGTGAGTGACTGGGACGCCCCTACTGTGTTTGATCAGTTAGAAAGAGCTAGCCGCAATCACTGGTCCAATTAACTCTAAGGGACCCATCAGTGTAGATGTCACACAGTCTCTCACCTGAGGACGGAAACAAATCAAGTTCCCGAAACGTTGTGTTCTTTTGTTTTCTTTAGAGTATCGGACGGTGGATAAGTCCAAAAACTCAGTAATCCTGTGTGTCATACACCATCGTCAGAACCTTTTAAGAGTCTACATAATTTCGTAATTAATGATCATTTCACCATCTGATATAGTGACTATTAACGATTTAGCTACGTTAAACGACCTTGTTCTATAAAAACTTTTAGTTACCTCTGTTACAAATAAATAATTGGCCTTTTAAAAATCAAAATATCGTATTCAGTTTAATCGCTTGTATGTAAGCGTAGAGGGGTAGAGGCATCTCTGATCGTAGGTATAATCCCGTGGAGGAGTGTGAAACTTTATGTGTTAATGCCAGTTCTACATGTAATTTAGAGGGTAGCTTCACGTTGCAGCTGTCTTTGAGCCCCCGGGAAAAAGCTCTCTGTATCCATTGAATAGGGACCTGGGTGGGTCGTATTAAGCTCAGCACCATGAAGGTATATTGAGGGCGCGGAGATGCAGATACATTAATATCGATTGTGGATGGGGTTAGTGCGTAGCCTTACGTTACAATCGACCTTAACCCACCATGGCGAGAAGCCCTTTTGACCATTAAGTAGGCTTGGTGGACTACGTATATTACATTTCCGTGAAGACGTACTTTGGGGATGGAAGGCTGAAGGTGAAGCTTCATACATCCATTTCGATTCTAGATAGTGATTAGCCTCACGCATGCTGCCCTCTTTAACCCTCTGGAATAACTCGCTGTGTGTCTGAACTAGGAAGCTGGCCATAACACCATGAAGGCTTAGGAAGTGAAGCCTCATACACTAATGTCCGTTCTGCGCATAAGTTGCGGCTAGGCTCGCGTTACTGCTGTCTTTATCACAAGGGAAAGTACTCAGCATGTATTAAAAAGCCAGTGACAGATATTAAATAATTATTCAGCTTCCGTACTTTTTATACAGTCTGTGCGTGACGCTGCGTAAGTTCTTGGAAGACGCCGTGCCATAGCTCAGCCAGTTAGTCGCCAGCTTTCCACCGCGGCGGCACAGGTTCGAGCCCAGGTCAGGTCATGTGTGATTTTGTAGTGAACAAAGTGGCACTGGGCAGGTTTTCTCAGAGTATTTCGTTTTCCCCCACCAATTCTCATTCCACCGACTGCTGCACTCTCCATCATCATCATCATCATCATCATCGTCATCTATCATTCGGGGATCATACAGTAGGCCACATAGTGGCCGACGTACAAAATGGGCCCAGTCTCACACTACTTGAAAGAACTTTGGAAGGCGAGTTGGCCGAAACTGGTTCTGGGAAATTTCTGACGTACTTGCTGCTGCATTGCGGCGTCATACAGTGAAATCCGTGTAGGTCCTGTTATTGAATGGTGTAGTACTTAGCTGCTTAGGTTTCGGGAAAGATACACCTCATTCAAGTCGTTATTTAAACCGACTGGTTTTCAGAGACTTCCAATCTCCGACTTCGCGCAAGCTTCCATCCTTTTGTATGTGACCAGGAAAGGATAGCAGATGGAAGGAGGGGCTTTATTGCGTAGGGAACAGCAGGGGCTTTCATTCCTCTGAATGATATGACTTTGTTAGCTTCTCCGTAGAGAAGCAAACATATTGACAGTCTGGAAAATAAACATTAAGCCAAGTTCCATTAAAGAAGCAAGATTAGATTCGAACTAGTTGTCACGTGTATCCGGGTTAACGTGAATCATAATTGTGGAGTCTAGATTTGATTACTGGATTTATTTGACGTCACTATCTCAACTACATGTGATTATAACAGTTCACACATTCAGCTCCTGGATAACGAATCCCTCTCCGCTTTGTTCTCGAAAGCGCGTTGGTTCACTGCCGGGTCACTTCTTCCGCATTCTATCGTATTTTGGTTTTCTGTCAGAGTCAGAGTCAGAGTTACTTTACGACAGACAGTTTACCACCAATCAGTTCGTCTTGGCGTCAGGCCCCTTGAGGCTCACGACCAGAGATTGTTTTTCCCCAACTTGAACTGTTGTGGCAATAGTCCTTATGTAACATCCTCTCTGACGAGAAGATGGGTTTGTCTCTTATGAATAGGCTTCGCTTCGCCTTTGTTAAGTGTATGTATCGCACATATAGCATGTTACTGAAAATTCTTCCTTTTGCACTACATACAAGTCCTCTGTCAGTACAGGCCTTACAGAGCAGATCATGCTACATGCACATCTTATGCTACAACGGCAGCTTTGTCATTTGAGCGGTAGTAAGCTTGACCACCGCCAAGTTTAAGCCTCTTATATCAAAGTCAAAGTCACATTGCGACTGACGGTCAGTCAGTAAGTCTTGGTGTCGAGCCCCATCTGGGGTTCATGACTAGATGAGCCTCTTGTATCAGAGTTAAAGTCGAAGTCACATTGCGACTGACGGTCGGTCGGTCAGTCAGTCAGTCAGTCAGTCTTGGTTTCGAGCCCCACAGATATTTGTTACTGTTAGACAGTTAAGGTCTTGTGGGGCGCCCTCTCTGACGAGAGGCCGCTGGCTCTTGCCAGCGCATTCTTTCTTGGGTCCGAGTCCCTTTGGACTCGTGACCATATTTTACTGTCTCAGATTCGAGACTTCCCTTTTCGTCGCCTCCTACGACTCGCAGGGTGGAGGTATTCGACGCCGCCTCCGCACGGGTATCTGTCTGTCTAGCCGACCTGGATTTCTGGTTATGTAGCCACGAGTAGGACCAGTCCAGGTCCTCATATTTTGGTTTTTATTCGGTTTTGTACCTACTTGGCGTACCGAATAGGGTCACGAAGTCGAACAATTCATTTCTTCGTTCTCACGAAACCGACCTCCCTGTTGCTCTGAGAACACACGTTTACGTAGCCGTTGTCATGAAGGTGACACCTCCGTTGTGCAAGAAACGTCTGTGTACGTTGCTTAGGAGACCTCTGTTTAGGAGTCGTTACCTGTGCAGTGGATTCACATGTCACATAGTAATTGGTAATACTGAATGTAGAAGCGTAGGTTTCTCCTGGTGCTCACAGCCGACCTATGTGTGACCGCTCGAACACTGGGAACATACGTTCGAGGAGTTGTAGTGTTTGCCAGCGTTTCGTTTGTTCCTGTTGGCTTCCCCTCAAGAAGTCCTACCAAACGTCTAGTAGATTCATACTTTCAGAAATTAATTCTGGGTTGGAAAAGTCCAGAGGGCCTCGCCGGTAAAACTGAAAGAGCAGAAGTTTTCATGTTAAAAAAGAGTGACCTTCGAGCGTTACTTATTGCTTCTCAGAGTACGTACAGGCAGGATAATAATTCCTCCTTTTGAAACTTTGTGATAGTCAGAGTTACTTTACGACTGGGGGTTTACCACTAATCGGTTCGTTTTGGCGACAAGCCCTTGAGACTCACGACCACTAATTATTTTTCTTTCCAACTGGACAGTTGCGATCATAACCCTTACGCAACATCCTGGGTCTGTCGTTTACAATTGTTGCTGGTCTTCGCCAGCGCAGTCTTTCTCAGCTCCGAGCCCCGCGGGACTCACGGCCACATTTCACTGTCTCAGATTCGAGACTCCGGCAACCTGGAGGGCCAGGTCTCCATATTTATATCCCCGAGGAACATGGTGGCCTGGTTATACCCCTGTGCAGGCACTGGGTTCCATTTTCGTTGCCTCCTACGACTCGCAGGGCTACGGTGGAGGTATTCGACCCCCTCTCTTGAATTTTCGGAATCCCACGTCTCAAGTTTATTTCGCTTTATTTTATTTTTGTATAAATTTGGGGGTGATTATACATAAGAATTCGCGAATTACCCTCCAGTTGCATGTCTGAGAAATCAATAATTGTAAAAACTGTAAAACGGATAAAGTAAATCTTTGTGTAAGATTCAGATGACGTGTAAAGAAGATTTCAGTGCTTGTGGAGGACACTCAGAGCAATTCTCATACATTGAATATGAGTATTCCTTCCTACTCTGGATGTGTTTTATGCAAATCCAGGTTCGTCTTCCTAATGACGAAGATAAGTATTGATATATCGGAATTAATGGCGAAACATACTAATTTTATGGTTGTCTGGGTGTAGCGCCGTGTCTGAATTGTAGGTATTGTCACTTCGACCGTAGTGAAAACAAATGTTACGTAATAGGCCAGACAGATAAATTTCTTTATTCTTTAATTTGAATCCTGTTACGTACACTTCGTAGCAAAAACCAGTCTCGTTATGAAGTTCTTCGCCCCCCCTCTCAATAAGATCAATTAAGATTCTGCTCTGGACTTCCTGGGCCCCTAACGCCAGATACGCCATGTTCTTAAGCTCCTCGCGCCAACGCCGACTGCAGCACTCGCTTCATTGCCGATAAATAATTCAGGAAACCTGCACACTTAGTATGGGGCAGCCCTTACTTAATTACACGGCGTTTCTGTTTCATTTTTATATAGGCTTTTCAGCGCACATTTATTAATATCTCGAGAAATGAGGTCGTTTTGATTTGGTTCATCCTGGTCTGTCACAATTGCAATATTATAAAACTTTATCAACTCCGCCCATTGTGACTCATAATTTTTTCTTTTTTTAATCCTTCATCCTTGACATGTTTCTGTCCT